TACTGCTGCCCCGATCGCTAGCACCGTACTGCTGCCCCGATCGCTAGCACCGTACTGCTAGATAACCTGCGTCCGCTGCCTCGTCCGCCGCATCGCCTGTTGCTGCCTGCTGGCAATATACTGCCACCCGAATATAATGTTAGATAAGGGCCCTTAGGACCCTCCCTGGTAACCGAACGCTCTCGCCTTAGCAATTAAGCCTAAACCGACCCTGTTTTATGCCAATATGCCTGCAAAAACACCTGTTTCTGCCCCCTTTTTCTGCCTAAAAATAGGGGCAATTTTTTAGGGGACCTAGGGTAGCTAAAAGGGCGCCGTAGATGGCGTCCTAGAGCGCTGCGAGATAAGTATAATAAATTAAGCAGATATACGCGTTTCTAGTCCGAACAGAAACTGCAATATAAACTAGATATTAGAGCTTAGCTATACTAGAAGTTAATAAGCTAGCTAGAAGTAATAAAGTAAGGAAGCTTTTATAAAAATATTTTCTATATAAAGGGCTTCTGCAGAGGCTAAAGCTAGAGCCTAAAGCGGAATTTTATAGAAATTTTTTTTCTCCTATTTTCTATTACCTGTCCTTTCTATCTTGCTTTACTTATATTTAAGAGGGGGGTACTATTATAGTATTAATTATAGCCTCCCTCTAAATATTAATCCTCTAACACCTTATTCCTGTATATATACGCACGCGTGCACTATACGCCTACTACCTAATTCCTAATTCTATTAGGGCCACGCGCTATATATAAGCCCCTTTTCTCGTCTTATATATAGCCTAGCTCCTGTCCCTAATTTAACTCGGTATTTTAATATTTTATAACTAACTATAGTAATAGTATATAGTTATCCTTCTTTAAATCTAATACTTATCTATTTCGCGTTTAAATACCTAATATATTATTACTATAACAGCTAAACACGTTATTATATAGGGAATTAAGACGTTATATAAGGAATAGGAAATCAAAAGCGCCGGCGAAGAAGATATGCCGGCAGAATATATATATAGTATAAGCTCGCAAGCTCTATATAAGATTAGGTAACAACGCTATATAGAACCTAATATAGCGCTAGATATCTATCTGCTTAAAGTAGAAATATTAACCTAATTAGCCCGATAACCCGATTATAAAATCTTCACTATTACTATTACTAATATTAATAAGGCCTTAGCTAAAAAGAAGTATACTAACCTAGCAATAAAGGTCCCTATAGAATACCACCCGTTTTTAAAGAACTTCTCCTGCTAAGAGGCTAATAAGCTGCCTAATTACTGTATATATAATTATAAAATTGTCCTAAAAAAAGGAAAGTAACCTAGATTTAGCCTGCTATATAGTATATCCTAGAATAAACTAAAGGTGCTCTAAAAGTACCTTAATAACAACCTTATAAAAGGGTTTATTCGCGCTAGCTTATTACCTATTGCCTTTTCTATTATCTTTATTAGGAAACTAGAAAAAGGTTTATAATTCTGCGTTAACTACTAAGCGCTAAACGCTATAACTATTAAAAACTATTATCCGATTCCTCTAATTTAAAAGACTTTAGCCTAACTTAGTAAGGCTAAGTACTATACTAAGCTTAATATTATCTCGGCGTTTAATTGCTTATAGATTATAAAAGGAGATAAATAGCTAATAGCCTTCCGGACACGATATAGCCTATTTAAATACCTAGTTATGCCCTTTAGACTAGCTAACGCCTTTAGTATATTCTAGTACTATATAAATAATATACTCCGCCTATACCTAAATATATTCTATACCGCGTATATTAATAATATCCTAATATATAGTAAAAGCTTTAAAAAACACCAGTACTATATAAGGCTAGTTCTTAAGGCCTTAGAAAATACAGGACTATAACTTAATATTAATAAATGCGAATTCTACTAGAGCAGTATTATATACCTAGGGTATATAATAATAACTAGCGGAATTAGTGTAGACCTAAATAAGATTAATAATATCTATAACTAGAAGACCTTTTATAATATAAAAAACGTACAGGCCTTTATAGAATTCGCCAACTTCTACTAATAATTTATTAATAATTTCTCTAGGTTAGCTGCACCTTTAATTACCCTTATAAAAAAGGGCGTGTAATTCTAATTTAATAATACCTGTAAGAAAGCATTTAAACGCCTTAAAATAGCTTTTATAACTGCCCTAATCCTCCGCTACTTTAACCCGGATCTACTAATAACTTTTAAAGCCGACTTATCTAACTATATAAACGCCGGAATCCTATTATAGATAGATAAATATAGAGTTCTATAACCTATAGCCTACTTTTCTAAGCGGCTAAACCTAGCTAAAAACAACTATAAGATTTATAATAAGGAACTCCTAGCAATTGTCTAATATTTTAAATAATAGCGCTCTAAGCTAGAAAGTGCTATACTTCTAATTTAGGTTCTTAGTAATTATAAAAACCTGCAGTACTTTACTACTATAAAATAGCTTAGCTACCGGCAAGCCTATTAGGCAGAGTACCTGTCCCGCTTTAACTTTATAATTATATATTAACCTAGTAAGTTCGGAGAAAAGCTAGATACTTTAACCTGCTATACACAGGATATACCCGTATAGGAAGAAGCCCGAGCGGCCCGAAACTAGACCTTATTACGCCCTAAGTTATTTACCGAGTTAAACCTTATAGAAACTAATCGCATAATTTAAGAAATTATTAAGGAAAAGTACCTAAATAATAAATTTATATAAGAAGTCCTGGAGCTAATATAATCTAGAACCCGATATTTAAAGAAGATTACCTTAAGTAAATATAAAGTCCGTAATAATAAACTATTTTACTATAATTACCTTATAATTCCTAACTATAATAAACTAAAGATTAAGCTCCTTTAGTATATATATAATTTACCTATAGGCGGCTATCTAGGGCGCGGAAAAACCCTTAAAATCCTCTAGAAAGAATACTACTAGCCCTAGATATTTAAAATAATCCGCTAATATATAGCCTGTTATTACACCTATTACTATATAAAGGCTTTAAAAGAAAAGTATAACAGCTTCCTAAAGCTACTACCGGTTCTATTATGCTGCTAGTAAGACGTTTTAGTTAATTTTATTATAGATCTACCTAAATCTAAAAGCTGCACTAATATTATAGTTATAGTAAATCGTCTAAATAAGTATTAATATATTATTCCTTATAAAATAATTACAGCTTAAGCTACTGCTAACCTGTTCTACCGGTATATTTAGGTGCACTACGGCCTTCCTAATACATGCGTTTCTAACCGAGGATTATAGTTTATTTCTATATTTTAGGATAAACTATATAAATAACTATAAATTAAAGCCCGACTATTATTAGCCTTCCACCCCGAAATAGATAGCTAGATAGAGAAGGCAAATTCTATACTAGAATAAGTCCTCTAGGCCTATATAAATTACTAGCAAGATAACTAGGTAACCTAGCTGCCGTCGGCTTAATTTA